TCTCTCTCTCTCTCTCTGTCTCTCATGAATAAATAAATAAAACCTTTAAAAAAAAAAAAAAGACTCATGGTCTGTGAGGGAGATGGACCCATAGGCAGAGCCATAATGAGAGACCTGAAGACAGAGCCGGGGTGGGGGGGGGATACTCAAGGTGGAGGAGGGCTTCCCAGGAGGGAACACTGAAGTCAGTGGGGCCTGCAGGGTGTGGAGGGCCATGAGGTGGGGGAGGAGTGTTCCCAGCAGAGGGAACAGCATGTGGGGATAGCTCAGAGGAAACCAAGGCTCTGAGTGAAGAACAATTAAAAGTTTGGTGAGGTGGAGTTGGGCCTTGGGCAATAGGTACCCCCAGTGGGTGCATCACTGAGGCAGATGGGAGGTTTGGGGAGAATTTTTGAGATTTTTATCTGATTCTCAAAGAAGCCCATGGGCTACATGTGGATCACTCCTGGGCTGGCTCTGCATGGGTCCAGTTAAGTTGATTTTTTTTTTCCAGCTGACTTTTAAACAGCTGTGCTCAGAGCTGAACTTCCTTCCAAATGGCTGAAAACAGCCCTTTTGGCCACGTGGTGGCCACAGGGGAACGGTTGGGGAGCGCCAAGGCAGGTCCTTCCTGACTTTAGATCCACCTGCGGCTCCCATGGCCCTCTGGATAAATCCCCTACTCCTCCCTGAGACCCACTGCAATCCTCACCCTCCATTACTACTGCACTCACTCACTCCAGCCTCAACTGCTTCCTCTATGTTCCTCAGCTCATCCAGCCCCAGGGCCTTTGCACAGGCCGTACCCTCTGCTGGGCCTCACCACTGCCATCAGGCACAGCTCACCTCAGTCCCCAGTTTACTCTCCCTCCCCCTTGCCCTGGTCCCATATGTGGGATGCGCCCCAAGAACCCAACAACCTTGGAGAAGGGACCATTGACTCAGTTCCCCTTGTGAACTGGGTTTGCAGTGAATCTTGTTACAGCCCCCCATTTCACAGATGAGGAAACTGAGGTTCAGGGGACTTAGGGTCAGAGTGGGTGTGGTGTCTGGAAGGTGGGGAGTGAGGGATGGGACAGGTGCGGTCCTCATACTTGTCATCCTCTCTTGTCTGCCCCCCAGGTCCTGGCCACAGACATGTCCAAACACATGAACCTTCTGGCTGACCTCAAGACGATGGTGGAGACCAAGAAGGTGACAAGCCTTGGAGTCCTGCTGTTGGACAACTACTCCGACCGCATCCAGGTGTGTGGCCGGGAGGGCCCCGGGCCCCCCCGCCGCCGTGTCCATGGCTCTCATTTCGCTTTATTTCTGAAGCACCGACTGTGCATCAAACTTGAAGAAACAGAGGCACCTAGAATCCCACGCCTATGCCTTAGCCATTCTTTCCCCGGCCTCAGCTTCCCCCCCGTAAGATGGGTGTGTTCATGGCGCCAGCCTCTTGGGGATGCTACCAGGCCTGAGAGTGGCCTGGCCAGAGCCCTCCTGAGCCGTGGTCTCTCCAGGTCTTGCAGAACCTGGTGCACTGTGCGGACCTCAGCAACCCTACTAAGCCACTGGAGCTGTACCGTCGGTGGACGGACCGCATCATGGCCGAGTTCTTCCAGCAGGGCGACCAGGAGCGGGAATCAGGCCTGGATATCAGCCCCATGTGCGATAAGCACACCGCCTCAGTGGAGAAGTCCCAGGTCTGAGGGCCCCTGGGCTGAGCCACCAGCAGACACGGGGGATAGGGAAGGGAAACAGCGGGTGAGCCGACCCCAGGAGTCCTGGCTTGACCACAGCTGACCAGGGAAGGGGAGTGGCCTCAGGGTGAGGTCTGCACTGGGCTGGGTGGCGTCAGGCCTGGGACGCATTCTCTCTGGGCTTCAGGGAGAGGGATCTGCCCTGGTGGAGTTGGGAAATGTCTGTTTTGGGTGATGTGGGGGTCCCTGAAGGGGAACACATCCATCCAGCCCTGAGGGGTCAGGGCTGGGATAGAAGGAAAGATTTAGTGGTTGGGGGGTGTCCAGAAGGGGCCGGGGAGAGTCCCTAGAGGAGGAGTTGTTTGAAGAGTGTTTTGAAGGATGAGTAGGAGTCGGGAAATGGCATTCCAGACAGAGGGAACAAGCTGGGCAAAGGCCTGGAGGCTGGACTAGGTCTAGATTCCATGGTGACTCACACTGCACAGCTCCCCCCCCCATATCAACCGGCAGGTGGGTTTCATTGACTACATTGTGCACCCGCTGTGGGAGACGTGGGCTGATCTGGTGCACCCAGACGCACAGGACCTGCTGGACACGCTGGAGGACAACCGTGAGTGGTACCAGAGCAAGATCCCCCGCAGTCCTGTGGATCTCACCAGCCCCGAGCAGGGGGGCCCTGACCGATTCCACTTTGAGCTGACTCTGGAGGAGGCGGAAGAAGAGGAGGAGGAGGAGGAAGGAGCTTTGGACACGGAGGTCTCGGAGTCACCTGACACTGAGCTTCTGGCCCCTGAAGCCAGCCCTGACCCTGGGGCCCTACTCCTGGACAACCAGAGGACTGGGGGCAAGCCCTGTGTGGACCACGAGGCCAATGTGGTGGCTGAGCCCTTTGGTACCTAATGGCTCCTGGCAGATGGATGGACCTTCCAGAAAGAGGTCCCAGGTGGCCCTTGCCTTGCCTCCCCCCCCCCTCCCCATTGAGGGAGACAACCAAGCTTCTAGTTATAGGCAGACCTTGGGGCCAAATTGGAGGCACTTGGCTGGGGTCCAGTCTGACCGCGGGCTTTGCCGAGAGAGCTCTCTGAGGGGCTGGGCTGGGAGCAACCTCTTCCAGCGCCCTTGGGATCTCCCTCCTGGGCTTCCACCCCCGGTGTGGAAAGAGGGTGTCTGCCAGGCTCCTTGTCCACCTTCTGCAGTGGTCATTCTGGAGGCACATCCATCATTTTATCTTTCCACTCTTGATCACGTATTTATTGGGCACCTACTGTATGCCAGGCTTACACCTGCTGTGTGCTTCTAGGGTAGCCCCGCACAAGGGGGTGGCAAATCAGTCCCAGGAGACCTACCCCCCTCAGGTGCCTCCCCTTCATCTGCCACGCAGCTCCATGCAAGAGAATGGAAACTTGAATGGGAGAATTTTTAGCACCAAAGCTTTGTCCAGACCCGAGTCTGGCTCAGGAGCTCCGGTGGGGAGCAGTAAGGGGCAGGAAAGACAGGGTTCTGTGTCGGGAACTGTCTCTGAAGACTGACTGAGCTTGTGGCTGCCTGTGCACCAGTTCCGGCTTTAAGTCACTGTAGTTTCTGTCTTGGGGTCTCTGGGTTCTGTTCTCCCTAGCCCCAGGGCTCCCTGCTGGGTCCTCCCCCCACTTTCTCCCTCTTATAGAACAGCAACAAAGCACAGCGTTCTTCCCCCTCCCCCGACGGCAGGTGTCTGTTTCTGAGGCTGCCTCCAGACTCCCGATAGGGGGAAGGATGCCTCTGAGGCTTTCTTCCAAGTCATAGCTCCTTCTGGGCCTCAGTTTCTCCTCTATGGCCTGATCTTAGTACTTGGGTAAATTGTGGTTGGAGGGTGGTGTCTGTGACCTTTCCAAAAAATCTTAGAAATGTGGGGGCATTGAACGTGTCTCTGGGGTTAAATAAACCCTATTACCCCAAATTAATGCCATGCCCACCTCAGGGATGGGGAAACGGAGTTGCAAATGGGTCGTGGTGCCTGCTCGAGGCTCTGCAGCTGGGAGCAGGACGTTAGGCAGCGGCGCCCCCTGGCGGACGGAGGCACGGAGGGGAGGCGGGGTGAACCCCGGGATTCTCCTTGCCTTTCCCGCTGTTTCTCAGGCTCCTGGCCTGGTCGGGCTGGCGCTGAAGGGGCCTGCCTTGCCCGAAGCAAAAGAGGCGTCTCTGCTTACGTATCACGTTCTGTTCCCGCCTCCAGAAGCCTCAGTATCTCCCCCACCCGCCCGTCCTTCTGTGCCTGGAGAATTATAACAAGACCCAAGTCATCGAGCAGCACCCCCCACCCCCCACCCCGCTTCAAGAACAGCTGGCTTCATTCCTGAATAATTCCATTGATAATTCCATTCCACTGATAATTCATTATCATCACAAGTAATGATCAAATTCCACAAAAGGACAATTAAAATTCATCTGGGTCATGAACTTAGTGCATTTCCTTCCGGACTTTTAAAAAGCAAAGATTTAGGGGCGCCTGGGTGGCTCAGTCGGTTAAGCGTGGGACTCTTGACTTTGGTTCAGGTCATGATCTCAGGGTCCTGGGATAGAGCCCCGCATCGGGCTCATCCTCAGTATGGAGTTGGCTTGACATTCTCTCTCTCCCTCTGCCTCTGCCCCGCCTCCCCGTGTTCATTCGCTCTCTCTCTCTCAAAATAAATAATAAAAGCTTAAAAAAAAAGTAAAAGGCAGAGATTTAGGGATTTTTATTTGTAATTTTTTTCTCCCTCCCCCTTTAGTTATAAGTAATATGTACTTACTGTAGAGAATTTGGAAATAATGTAAACAAATACAAAAGAAAATAAAATTCTGCTATAACCTCCCTGTAGATCATCTGCCTTCAGCATTTCACCTTATTTCCCTGTTTCTTTCTCCACAGATTTATAAGAACATATGTGCCCCTTCAATCTGGGCCACAGGCATCTCTCCGTCTCCCTCTTACTGACTGCACTCCACCCATGCTGGCTTTCCATACCCCAAGATGTGGCCCCACCTCAGGGCCTTTGCACATACTGTGCCTACCACCTGGATTGCTCCTCCTCCACCCTCATCCTCACCCGTTGGGTCTCAGCTCAGCATCTGCTCCCCTGCAAAGTCCTCCCAGACCCGCCCCCCACCCCCCCCCAGGCTGGCACTGGTGGAAGTTCTCGGAGATTCTTTGATTCATGTCTACCACCCTCTCCACACCCTGATCCCCATAGGTCTGGGCCAGATCCACCACACCATCCTTGGTATCCCCTAGAGATGGATATTGACAACTTCAAGTCTCTTAACCTCTCTGAGCTTTTATTGTTTCATAGGTAAAATGGGCTCTTTGTGAGGATCACATAATTGCCACAGGTAGCATTTGAGAAGAGTGTGTCCTGAGCCAGGCATGGAGCTGCCTTGCTGTCCCCCCTTTCTGGAGCATTGTTCCCTCACCTCTCCCTCTGGCCAGCTCCTTCTCCTTCAGGCTCCTGCTCAATGTCACTTCTTGAGGGAGATCTGCCCTAACCTCCCGGGACAAAGTCACCCTCTCTCTGATCATTCATTCATATATATCATGCCATCACAGGGCACTTACTATGTCCACAGGTCTAGGTGCTGGGGACACCAGTCCCTGTCTCTCAGAGCTCTCAGATGGCTAATGGATAAATAAGTCAAATAATTCTTTCTTTCTTTCTTTCTTTCTTTTCTTTCTTTCTTCCTTTTCTTTTTCTTTCTTTCTTTCTTCCTTTCTTTTCTTTTTCTTTCTCTTTCTTTCTTTCTTTTTCTTCCTTCCTTCCTTCCTTTCTTTCTTCTTTTTCTTTCTTTCTTTTTTTTTAAGTAGGCTCCACATCCAACATGGAGGCCAATGAGAGGCTTGAACTCATGACCCTGAGATCAAGACTTGAGCTGAGATCGAGTGGGACACTTAACTGATTGAGCCACCCAGGCGCTCCTCAAATAATTATTTCTGATAGGGGGTGTGTCAGGAAGGAGAAATATGGTGATGCAATAGGGAGGTGACATGAAATTGGAACCTCTGAAAGGAGGTGGGTGTCCATCAGAGATCTGAAGGGGATGAGTGAGCCAGGTTTAGAAGGAGGTTGGGGAACAGTGCTCCAAGCAGAGGGAAGAGCAGGTGCAAAGTCCCTGAGGGAGGATTGCACCTGAACCAAAGGGAGCATCTAACTGGAGGAGAAAGATGAGATGGGGAGGTAGCTGGTGGGAAGTGAGTGGCTAGGGGGCCTGGGGCTGTGAGGTGGAGTCTGGACTTTACTCTGAGTGGGGTGGGACTTGGAAGGGTTTAAGGCTTTTCCCTCATCAGCTCTGGTGTTCCGCGCTGCGCAGCAGTTCCTCATCCAACCATCCCTAATTCTGGAGTGGAATGCTGATTCTGAACAATAAAGGCCTTGCATTATTTTTACTTTAAAATACAAATCCCTCTGTGCAGCAGCTGATGCGCATTGTTGTAGGCCTTTTCCCCTTGGTGGTGGGGGAGAACAAAACAGGTATTTCTTTCTTTCTTTTTTTTTAAGATTTTATTTATTTATTTGACAGAGAGAGACACAGCGAGAGAGAGAACACAAGCAGGGGGAGTGGCAGAGGGAGAAGCAGGCTTCCCGCTGAGCAGGGAGCCTGATGCGGGGCTCAATCCCAGGATCCTGGGATCATGTCCCGAGCCCAAGGCAGTCGCTTAACCAACTGAGCCACCCAGGTGCCCCCAAAACAGGTTATTTTTTTTTTAATATTTTATTTATTTATTTGACAGAGAGAGACACAGCAAGAGAGGGAACACAAGCAGGGGGAGTGGGAGAGGGAGAAGCAGGGTTCCTGCCGAGCAGGGAGCCTGATGCGGGGCTCGATCCCGGGACCCTGGGACCATGACCCAAGCTGAAAGCAGGCGCTTAACTGACTGAGCCACCCAGGTGCCCCCAAAACAGGTATTTCTGAGTGCTACCCACGTACAAAGCGCGAAGCATGCGTTTGGGAAGTGAGGAAGCTGAGGAGCCTTACACGTCCTCACCTCCACCGGGGTGCGCGGGCCGGGTCCTGGGCCAGCCGTGTTTGGGGCACCACCGACTGCCGGTCTCCCCGTAGGGGGAGATTGGGGGTGAATTTATTTTTATTTATTTTTTATGTTTTTCTCAATTTTCCAATTCTCCGCAGTAGGTTCGTAATACTTTTATAGTCCTGAGTGGAGGAGAGGGACAAAAATGTCACCCTTAATCAAAATAGATTTCCCAAACGCTTGCGGAAAGCGAGGGACGTCCGCACTTCCAGGGGGCGGCGAGGTGGGCGGCGGAGGGCGGGCTCGAGACGCTAAGTTATTCTGGTCTCTAGGCGCCTCCGCAGCTGGCGAGCTTTTTATAAACAGGACGAACACCACCCCGCACACACACCCCCGCCCCGCGCCTGGGGAGGAAGCAAGGAGATCAGGATTCTCTGGGGACCGGAGTTGAGGGGCAGGGATCCAAAGATAGGGTCTCATTCTCCAACCCCCTTCCGCCATTCTGATATTTTCCCCTCAAGATTTGGGGAAGTAAACGACTGAGCATCTCCGCCCCCAAAGTCTCCACCGAGTCTTGTTTCCCCAGGATGGAGGGAATGGGTCGCCTGTCATTTAAGTCAGGAATCAGGGTCGGATTAAGCATCTCCCAGCCCCATCTTTACTGTTTGGGGCGCCACCGACTGCCGGTCTCCCAAGCCCCAAGCGAGGTCTTTGAACCTCGCTAAGACTCTCCCTGCTTCGCGTTGTTGTTGTTTCCTGCAGGTTTGGGGGGATTTAGGAGGTAAGCCATTTCTCTGCCCCACTTCAGCATTATCTTCGAATTTTCCTCCGGAAGGTGGGACTTAGGGAGAGGAGGGGTTCTTGTGTCGATTAGCCCCTTCTTTCTTTTCGAGAAATTAGTTCTCTTGATCCCTATTTTTCTTCTTTTTCATCTCAGAAACAGGATCGGGCATCTACCAACCCGGTCCTCTTTGGAGATCTTACACCTCAGAAATTGGAAGGGGTCTCTCGACCCCTATTTTCGCTTTTTTCCCCATTTGTACTTATTTTGGGTTTTTTTGGTTGTTTTTTTTTTAAGATTTTTTATTTATTTATTTGACAGAGAGAGCACAAGCAGGGGGAGCTGGAGAGGGAGAAGCAGGTTCCCCGCTGAGCCCGATGCGGGGCTGAATCCCAGGACCCCGGGATCATGACCTGAGCCGAAGGCAGACGCTTAACGACTGAGCCACCCAGGCGCCCCCATTTGTACTTATTTTGAACTCATAATTAGGGGGCATGGAGCGTTTCTCAGATGTTTGTTCCTCTTTTCTGAGATTGGGAATTGGGAGTGTTTTTAACAAGAAGTGGCGGCACCCAAGACAGGGCGGGGAGCGCGGAAGTCTCAGACCAAAGGTGGGAGGGGGCGGGGAAAGAGAACGCCCCCTAAAGACCCAGGCTCAGCGAAGGCCTCAACCTCTCAGCCCGGCAACCACTTGGGAGCCACCATTGGACAAGAGCAGAAAGGTGATGATCTCTGACTGGCTACTCAGTCCGTCGGCTCGGGCGCTTAAGCCAGTGAGAGGGTACCACTCAGTCTCGCCTCCCTGACACAGCCAGGAGGCGGAGCAGGTAGGCACCGCCCCCGCGCTCTACTGGATGAGCACATTGATTCCGCCCCATTCGTGCGTCAATCCGCGCGGGAGCCCCGCCCCTCCAGGCTCTGCGTGCGTCAGTGGGCTGCTTCTCCAGGCGCCGCTCCGCCCCAGGATGGCGTCACGACTGTATCTGCATGTGAGGCCCCGCCTCACTCTTTGCAGGACGTCACCGCGGACTGCAGGGGCCTGAGCCGCTGCTGCCGCCGCCTCTGCCCCTGTCGCGCAGCCCCACATCAACGCAGGGGGCCCCGTCACCACCGCCGCCAAAAAGTCGCTGCCACTAGGGTCGCCACCGCATCGGTGCAGGGCAAGGTGAGTTCCGGGGCGGCCTGATTCCCCGCCTCTCCGAACACCTACATAACCTTCATTTGACTGATGGGCTTGCCAGAGTAGGGGACGAGGTTGGCTCGGGTTAAATGGGAAGGATGCGGCGGTCACAGCCCTTGTAGGGGTAGGGCCCTGGCTTCCCCTACCTGCCCGCTGCTCACCCCCACCCCCCACCCCTGGCCTCTGCGGCGGAGGGGGAAGGGAGGCGAGTGCCTTGCGGGAAGCTGTGCGCACGGGAGGCTGTGTGCGTGCGCGTGCGTGTGGTGTGAACACGCGTGTGCGCGCCCGCCTGTGCCAGCGGGTCTGTGTGCATACCCTTTTGCTTATGTACCGGGCTATGCTCGTGTGACCCGGTGGGTGTCCCGACCCCGGTGAGTGCGTGCCGCACGCGGGTGGAAGGAGACGCATGGACTGTGCGTGTGCGTGCACGCCGTGTGCATACGTGCACGGGAATGCGTGTCCGCGTGGGTGACAGGTACACGCCTGCATGGGTGGAGGGCGCTTCGCGCACGGGTGGGTTTGCACATTTGTATATGCGTGTTGGTGTGCGGACAAGTGTCTGTCTCTTTCCTGTGCACCGAATGTATTTGACTCTCATGTGCACACGCGTGTACGGGTGTGTTCCCTACTGCGTGCACGTGAGCGTGTGCACGCCCCGCCCCTATCACATGACCAGCTGTCTCAGCCCGATCTCTCCCAGCTTCGGAGTCTGGGGGAAGGGGGTGCTGCGACGCACATCCTCGCGGGAGCGTACACGCGTGTGCACTTGCGCCCGCGCGCCTCCGATCTGAGGAACATGAATGATTGATGGGGGGCGGGGCCGGCCGCAGTCACCCCTACCCGCTCAGCCTTAGGGGTTAGGATTACAGCTCGATCTGGGGTGAAGGCATGCTGGAGGGGGCTACAGGGGTGTCCCCATCCCCATCTCTCTGAGCTCCTCCCTTGACACTTCCAGCCTTTCAAGGTCACGGCCCGCCCTTTGCCATGGGCCCCACCGTTAGTACTGGGGCTCCTGACGAGTTAAGGGTCATCTCTAAACACTAGACCCTCTCAGGGGCTCCGGAGTTCTCTGCACCCTGTTCTTGGGGCTTGGGCAGTTGGGGGCGGAAGGGGACTCCTCAGGCTCATCTACACCCTGCACACCCAGATGGCATCCGCCACAGACTCGCGCTATGGGCAGAAGGAGTCCTCGGACCAGAACTTCGACTACATGTTCAAGATCCTCATCATTGGCAACAGCAGTGTGGGCAAGACGTCTTTCCTGTTCCGCTATGCAGACGATTCCTTCACGCCTGCTTTCGTCAGCACTGTGGGCATTGACTTCAAGGTCAAGACCATCTACCGCAACGACAAGAGGATCAAGCTGCAGATCTGGGTGGGTCCAGCTGCGGAGCTCCTGTCTCTATCAGTTTACCTTCCCAGAAAAGCAGCCCCAGCTTTGCCACTTTCCTGTCTGGATTCGTTCATTCACACCCTGGGCATTTATCAGGTGCCTTCAGTGTATCAGGGGCTGGAGGCCCAGAAGAGAGTGCCCTGTTCTCCCGTGGGTGCCTCATCATTGCTCCCCAGGAGTGGGGAAGGAGCAAATACTGGGTCCTCTCTGCCTGCTGTTATCAAGAGCATCACTTGGCTTGGTACCTCAGTTTTCCCCCCTTTAAGTGCTTTCATGAGTCTGTATGAGGTTTCAGCTGGATCTTGGCCCCCAACCGCATTCTCTGGGACAGGAGCAGACACCTTCCCCAGGGTCTACTGGCCACCTCCCTTAACCCCATGGAGGCCCGAAGGAACCTGTTAAATCCCAAGCCACAGCTGTCCCTCCTCTGCTCGTGGCGTTCCCATGGCTCCTACCTGACCTGTCCCCTGGCCTGAGAGACCTTGCCTGGTCTGTCTCCTTCCACCCCCGCCTCCTTACTGTTCCTCAGATGATTCAGGCACAGACCCACTTCAGGGCCTTTGCCTTTTGTCTTTCCCCCAATCCCCACATGGTTCCGTCCTTACTTCCTTCAGCTTCTAAAACCATACCCTCGCCCACACTGCCCAGCCTTCTTTGTCCAACTTTATTTTTCCCTTCAGTCTTTTTCACCCTCCAACATAGGATGCATTTTCTTCCTTTTTTGCGTGTTTATTGTCTGTTTCCTGTACTGCGTAGTTGGTTCCACGAGGCAGCGATTCTTGTCCATTTTGTTAACAGCTGTGTCCCCAGGGTGGCACACACAGGTCAGTGCCCAGGTATGTTGAATGAATGATGGAATGATTCTGTAGGTACCTGCCTCCGGAGGATGGTTGAGCACCATGTTCTCCATGTAGGTGGCCAGCCCGCTTTCCCTGACCCACTGTGCCAGCTCCCTGCTTCTCTCCGGTCCTCAGGGGGGCTGGACTGGACAATCCCGGAGTTGGTTTCCACTCTGAGGAGCTCACAAGTGGGGCCTCTCTGACCCGTCTTTTCTTCCCCCCAGGACACAGCAGGGCAAGAGCGGTACCGGACCATCACCACAGCCTACTACCGGGGTGCCATGGGCTTTATCCTCATGTATGACATTACCAACGAAGAGTCCTTCAACGCTGTGCAGGACTGGTGAGCACACCCTACCCCCTCCCAGACGGTCTTTGGTGCTGGATTCTCAGACCTGCTCTCAGTCTAATAACTAAAACGTGGTGGCACTGGCTCAAACTAAGGGGAAAAAAGGGTTTCGTTTCAGGTAGAAAAATGAAATTGTAAATGTATAGGTTAAAAAAAAAAAGGAGGGGGCAGAAAATATAAGGATAGTTTGCATAGGATGAAAGGATAGAAACATTTACATTTCTGCCCAAAATAACGGTACATTTTAGGGAAATTTCTGAATTGGCGGAGGAGGGAGAAGTTCTTGTGTCTAGGGGACAGGGATCTGGGAAGGGTGGGCAAGACTGCATGAAAGGGATTTCGAAGGTCAGGGAGCCGTGGGACCATGTTCATGGCAGGACAGAGGCCGGGAGGAAGGCCCAAGCCTGCCAAGTTCAAGCAATACTGGGGAGGTGGGGTGCTAGAGGGTGCTGAGGGATGGGGAGACGAGAGGTCAGCGGAGCTAGGATCCTCCCAGGCCTAACCCACCCGTCACTGTCTCCCCCAGGTCGACCCAGATCAAGACGTACTCATGGGACAATGCCCAGGTGCTGCTGGTGGGGAACAAGTGTGACATGGAGGATGAACGGGTGGTGTCGTCGGAGCGTGGCCGGCAGTTGGCTGACCACCTTGGTGAGTGCCTAGCGGGGCTGCCCACCTACAGGCTACGAAAGGGACGCTGAGGCCCTGAAAAGGGAGGGGACACACCCAAGACCTCCCAGCAAAGCCAGGACCGGGCCTGGATTTGAATCCAGACAATTCACACTTTCTCCAAATGGCCTGGAGCCAAGAGCTGGGTCTTGACGGATGCATAGGAGTTCATTGTGCAGTAAGTTACTGATTCACTCTGACACCCTCACTGCTAGCCTTGTGTTGGGTTGCTGGGCCCAAGAGGCCTCATTTTGTGGGGTAGAGGGAGAGACCCGGGCTGGGGGAATGCATGGCGGAGGGGGGTCTGCCTGGTGTAGGTAAGACCTGGAGGAAGGTGCTGGATCTGGTGCTCGAGCAAAGGGTGGTCTCTCAGGCAGAGGAAACAACTTTAGACAAAGGCCAGAGGCGGGGAAGATCCTGGGAGTTCTGGCAAATCATGTGGTATGGCTGGAACTTGAGGGTCATTTGGGGGAAACGTGGCTGATCACGCAGGGCCTGAGTCATATGCCGAGGATCTGGGACTCCTGCAAGGGCGACTGGGAGCCAGAGGGTGTGTAAGCAAGGGAGGGCACAGGTGGACGGAGTGTCAGATGCTGCCAGGGGCCAGTGCACAGGTTAGGGTGGATGGCGGGAGCAGGGAAATAGGTCTTGCCAGGGGCCTGGAGACGAGAAGGGGACAGTTTTAGGGCGAAGGAAGGAGTACAGGAAACAGGGCTGACCTGCTTCCTTGCAGGACTTGGCACCTCTCACAAGTGGTTGGCAGCGGGAATCTCCAGATGTTCCCTGCCCTCAGAGAAGCATCTCTGGGGGGTGCGGGGGGACCAGGGCCCTCACCCCTCCCTTCCCCACTCACAGGCTTTGAGTTCTTTGAGGCAAGCGCCAAGGACAACATCAATGTCAAGCAGACCTTTGAGCGCCTGGTAGACGTCATCTGCGAGAAGATGTCTGAGTCCCTGGACACGGCTGACCCTGCGGTCACGGGCGCCAAGCAGGGCCCGCAGCTCACGGACCAGCAGGCGCCTCCACATCAGGACTGCGCCTGCTGAGAGCTGCTCCCGGCCCCATCCTGGCCCCACCCCTGCCCACCCCCTGGGCCCAATCCAGCCCCCACTGGCCCAGGGCGTGAGACCCCCCCCTGCCCCCAACTTAGCCCCTCACCCTTATTTATTATCGTAGTTATTTATTTATTTATTGGAGATGTCCCCCAGGGGCTCAGGCTCCCCACCCACCCCGTGTCCCGCCCTGTACATACAGCCCTGTCCCCACTCTGCCGTGGCGTGTCGTGGCCCTGTGAACTCACTGCTCACCCTCCTCTCAAGACCCCACCTTTTTTAAAATTCACCCCCAACAACAGTTACCGGTTTTGCAGAGGGGGCCCGATGACCCCCCCCCAGGGCAGGCTGATTGGGTGATGGGAGGTAGTCGGGTCTGCCAGCCTCTCGGCTGTGACACGGTGGGCCAAGGCCACTGTGGGGGTCTCAGCATGGACCATGGGGTGGATCAGAGCTAGGTAATGGCCCGCCTGGCTCCTCACCCTAAAAGTTTTACCCTTATTTGGAGGTGAGGGCTGCTGTGGTACTCGCCACCCTGGGACCCCCCCCCAACACCAGACCTGTTCTGAAGTCATGAGTGTCAAATGTTCCCCCCAGATCCCCAGGAGATGTCATGACAACACTACACACACCCAATAAAGTGAATGGATGACACCGTGTCCCCATGAGTGCCAGCCTGCCAGGGTGGCCTTGGTCATCCACAGGATTTTCAATGACCAGAGAATTTAATAGAATTTCCACAGTCTGTGACCTGAGTGTGAGACTGGAAGCCACCTGGCCCTGCCCAAGGCTCCAGATTCTGGGGGCTAACTCCAGGCTGGGCCCTGCTCCAAGGGGATGGGCTGTGTCCCCACCTTGGGCCCAGGGCCCAGCCCATAATAGTGTTGAGGGGTTGGGGCTTGGGACGGGCTGGCCGGGGCCCAGTGCTGCGGATAGGAACATCTGTCACTGGTTCACGGAGAGCCTGCAGTGAGAAGGGCTCCTGGGTGACTATCTTCATGGTTGTGTTGCAGATGGGGAAACTGAGGTCTTACCCTAGGCTTGGAGGGGGCAGCCCAGCCAGATGCCTAGGGGTAGGGGAGGGGCCAGGACCAGGCCTGGCCTGCTCAGAGTCAGTCCTGCTCTGTCTGGCATCCAGTGAGGAGGGCTGGGCAGCTCAGTCTGCACAGTGCCCAGGGCCACGCAGCCTAGCGGTGGACGGGCCCAGGATCTGTCCATACAAGAGGAGTCTGGTCACACACCCCGTTCACCCCTCTGGATTCCTCTTCACCAAGCGAGAGTCCTCACCCACATGTCTTCTGGCTGGACTCAGTCCTGCGGGGCAGACGCAGCAGGTCCTGGCCGAGGTCACATCAAACAGCAGATAGGGGGCTGGGTCTTCACCCTGCTGGGGATCAGCTCCCCACCCACCTGCTATGGTTTGCAGATTATCACAGGCCCAGGAGGACCTCACCCTAGAACGCAGCTGCATCGCCATTTGGGGTTCACACGTGTGGCCCCTGAGGAGCCCCCTGGGTGTCTGGTCCGCCCACCGAGCTCACCCGGTACTTCAGGTAGGAGAGGTACGTGTCCCAGCCCAGCGTCAGGCCATTGATGTAGGTGACTCGGAACTGGGGGGGCACGAAGAGGAAGTTCACCAGCTGGGCAGCTGGCCAAACGCACCAGTCGGCCTGCGGGGAGGGGCGGAGTGTGGTGAGGGGCGGGGCCTTGCAGGGAGGAGGCTGCGAAGGGCGGGGCAGGGAGCGAAGGGGTGGGCGTGGCCCACCTTGTAGAATTCCCAGAACTTGTCCCGCAGCTCCTGGCAGCTCTCATCCAGGGATTGGCCCTCCAGGCAGCCAAGGCCTGGGAAGGAGACCAACAAATTAGAGTGTCAGAGGCTGGGGAGTCCTGGTGATGGAGGAGATGGGGCAGGAACCCTGAGGAACAGTGGTGTCCCTGGCAGACAGACCAAGAAGTTTAAAAGTTCCTTGTGGTGGGAAGGGCCACACACAGCAGAGTGGCTGGTGTAGAGAAAGAAAGCAGAACAAATTGGTTCCAGTGAGGGAGCGGTCATAAATAAACACGTACCCCCTTAGAGGCACCTGGGTGGTTTAGTAGGTTAAGTGACCAACCCCTGGTTTCGGTTCAGGTCATGATTTCAGGCTCCTGGGATTGCGCCCGAGTTCGGCTCCGAACTGGGCGTGGAGCCTGCTTAGGATTCTCTCTCTCCCTCTCCCTCTGCCCTTCCCACCTCCCTCTCTAAAAACAGACAGACACACAGGCACCGCAAAGGATGAAGATGCACCCTTCCTGAGGCTGAGGCTGTTTTATTTCCTTTCTTTCAAAAAGGAGGAAACTGAGGCTGGGGGGGCCGGAGTGACACTCTTCCCAGAGCCAAGGGCTGGATGATTGTACCCCATCAACCCCAGCCTCAGCAACTCTTCCTTCAGCCTCAGGGCCTTTGCATGGGCAGTTCTTCATGCCTGCTGGCTCCTTCTTCAAGTCTCAGCTGAGTGTCCTCTCCTCTGGATGGCCCTCCCAACCACTGCCTAGGGCAGCCCCACCTGAGACTGCTTCATCCCTCCTACACTAAGCACCACTGTCTGATTCTGCCATTCATACCTGCCCCCAGTGGGTCTGTCCTGGCAACAATGTGACCCAGCACCCAGTCCAGAGCCACACACAGAAGAGGCCCATCAGAAATGCACGTCAGCATCCCTCTTAACACAAAACGGGCTCTGCCCCTCCTAACACAGGGAAGGACAAAGCCCGAGCTCACAAGGCTCCTTACCCAAGAAGTACCAGACGCCTAGCATGGGAGAGGCCACCAGCTGGTCTACGAGGACCTTCCTGAGGACGTTTGGGAGGCCAGGGAGGCCAGACGCTGGGAGCAGGTGGTCCAGCCAGAGGTACCAGTAGTGCAGGAAGGGACCCATACTGCAGCCCACTGCAAACATGCTCGCTGAGAGCAGTTCAAGAGTCAGGGGGGACCAGCAAGCCCCCCAATCCATTCTGTCCCTGGTTACCCTCCCTCCCTGGTAAACCTGAAGCCCTCCCAGAGCCCACCTGTATGTTCTCCCATTACAAGCCCCACTGCCAGGCACCGTTCCAGTGGCTCCTCTCCCGTATTCTCTCCTCATCCCCTTCACCACCCCGTGAGCGGGTTCTACCATTGCTCAGCTTTCCGGAGGAGGAAACGGGCACAACAGGCTGGAAAGTGCAGGGCCAGGGCACAATCCCAGGCTGGCTGGGTCCAGACGCTGAGCCCTTGACTATCCTTGGTGCAGTTTCCAGTGCTCAGCGCTTGGTCTCAGGGACGGAATAAGGGAAGCGGACGAGGGGGTGGGCGGGAGTGGACGGAAACTGGGCCCGGGAGGAGACAGGGACCAGGAAGTAGGAGGAGATGGAGACCTGGGTTGGGGAGAGGCCTGAGACCCCGGCCCGGGGAGAGGGGACGGAGACCCGAGCGTGGGCTATGAGGGTCCTGGATGCACGCCAACGTCAAGGGTCCCGCCGGGAATTGAGGCCACAGGTCTCCGATTCTGAGGTTGGGGTCAAAAGTCTCCCGGGGTCAAGGGCCAGCAGCGCCGGCCCCTCACCTGAGCGCCGGGGATCGAACTTCTGGCCAGGCCGGGTGCGGACCTCCCAGGATTGGCGCACGCCGTCCCCGACCGCCATGAGAACACCACAGCCCAGCGTGTTGGTGACGAGCAGCGCACGGCCTTGGAACAGGGGCTGCCTCAGGGCCCGCAGGCCGCGCAGCCAGCGCCAGCCGCCAGGAGCCATAGCCCACCGCAACTCAGGACCCGGCGCCGGGGGATGCCGTCCCGGTGCTGGCCAATCGCACGCGGTCTTCGCGGTCTGCGCGCCCGCCCCAGTCCCGGGCTCCGGACGTAGTAACCAATAAAAGGCCGGCATCCCATCCCCGGGCCAATCGCTGAGCGAAGCCAAACGCTGCCCTCCGCACTTTACGGACCAATCGCAAATAAGCGTCTCGCCGCATCGCGCAGCGGCACTGCCACCCTCGTTTCCCCGCCCCTTTCTGCGCCGGCCTATGGACAAGCGTCGCCGCACTCTAACAACCCGCCCAATACTGCACTGACCAATCGCAGACTAGCCTTAGGCGGGCGACTCGCGCCGGTTGTCCCGCCTCCCGTGCCGAGGTGGCCAATCTTGCTCCGTCGCCTAGTTGCTTTGCAGATTCTCCGATTCTCCCGGAATTCCTGAGAAGGGATCCGAGCCCCGACCTCGGCGGCTCTTGCGGCGGAAGTCTCGTCCCGCAAACACTCACGGAAGTCGGGGCAGGGTGCAGTTCGGCTGCGCCCGCGGCCCGGTAGAACCCTGGCCCAGCCATTGACCTTGACTGGAGCTGGGTATCTGACCTCAGTTCCAGAATAGTAATAGTTAAAACGTTAGGCACTGTTCTGGGCACGTTACGTGCATTAATTTATTTCACAGGCAGCTCTGCAAACAACTATATCCCTATACTTTACTTCCTGTGTTCCTGTAGGGGAAAAATAGGAGTTTCCATGGAAACGTATGCGTTACTTACAAGGAACCAGGGTGTCGCAAACTGCGGCCTGTGGTCCAAATCCCGTTGCTGTTCTTGTGAGGCTCAAGAAGTAAAAATGTTTCTTACATTTTTTTAAATGTGTGAAATAGTATAAAATTTCTGGACGTGAAAGAATCCGTTTTGAAGCCCTATTTTCCTTTCCAACGGATGAACTCTTGAACTGGGCCAGAAGCAGCAATAGTTTTACAAGCAGTAGCTCATAAAATTTCAACAGAGCAATTGGCATTCAGATCATATGGAGAAAGTAAAGTTAATAAATACCCGGGACAGTTTCATTTGATAGCACCAGTAAAATTACAATAATCAGAAGTGACTCAGCTGGTCAGTGATGTGGGAAACAAAGGCAAAAGAAAAATTTAATTTCCTTACTACCTACAGCCCACAGACAAGTCCTTGAAACAGGCAGAGTGACATTCCTCTAGGGACTCAGCTGCTGCCTCGATGGTATTATCATTGCTAAGGGCAAAAGGCAATCTTAGCCCGACCCCCAGGATCCTGTAAGTCTACTTTAACATAAAAATTCCTTCGGAAACTTCCTTTATCTCTATCCCCTACGAGACATGTTGGCAATCATCCCCCAAGCATATGGCCCACCGACATACATCAGAAGGGTCTCATGTCTAAAGTTTTACTAGACGGTAATAAATGGCCTTTTCCCAACAACAGCTAGCCCCCTCAAGGTCCTGGAAACCTTGCTTCCAAAATTCCTTAAAGATTTACACTCTCCCTAACCCCCTCCCAACTTCAAAGTATATAATCAGCCACTCCTCATGACCCCAGTGCAACTCTTTCTGCCCACGGGGTCCTGTCCCTGTGCTTTAATAAAACCACCTTTTTTTTTTTTTTTAAAGATTTTATTCATTCATTTGACAGAGAGAGACACAGCGAGAGAGGGAACACAAGCAGGGGGAGTGGGAGAGGGAGAAGCAGGCTTCCCGCCGAGCAGGGAGGCCGATGCGGGGCTCGATCCCAGGACCCTGGGATCATGACCTGAGCTGAAGGCAGTCGCTTAACCAACTGAGCCACCCAGGCGCCCCTAAAACCACCTTTTTACACCAAAGATGTCTCAAGAATTCTTTCTTGGCCATCGGCTTCGAACCCTAATGTCTTTCTTACCTCAGTCAGCACCAAATTAGTAGGGTTTCTTTCTTCTTTATCTAAAGCAGGTAATTACCCCTTCCTTCTTTCTCATAAAAACCCTTTCCCTCCATGAAGGAGACACTTTTCTGGTTACTCTGGAATCTGTGCTCCCAAATTGTAATTCTGAGACCCCGAATGAAACATGTGTTCCTTTTCAGTTTTGCCTCCTTTTCTCAGTTGACAAAAGGTTGGGGAAAAAAATCAATAATATCCTATGACATGAAAATTATTCAAAAATCAAATTTCTGAATCCATAAATAAAGCTATATTGGAACAGAGCCATGCCCATTTGTTTCTGTATTGTTTCCTCTCACTACAATGAGTAGTTGCAACAAAGACAGTATGGTCTGCAACAATGAAACTATTTAACGATGCTCCTTTACAATGAAAGAGTTATTGGGACACTGCCCGGCTCAGTCCGTGGAGCTGGTGACTCTTGATCTTGGGGTTTTGAGTTCGAGCCCCACATTGGGTGTGGAGATTACTTAAAAATAAAATCCTAAAGGTGTCTGGGTGGCTCAGTCGGCTAAGTGTCTACCTCTGCTCGGGTCATGATCCCAGGATCCTGGGATCGAGTCCCGCATGAGCCTGCTTCTCCCTTTGCCTGCTGCTCCCCCTGCTTGTGCGCGCTCATTCCCTCTCTCTCTCACAAATGGATAAATAAAATCTTAAAAAAAAAAAAAAAAAAGGTGTCCATCAGGAAGAAGAACCTTTGCTGTCTGGACCTGTGATATTTAGTGTTTCTGTTGAAAGAGGTCAGGAAATGCCACCCCAAAATATGCCGCTCTGGCAGATTGATTTTTTTTTTTTAAGATTTTATTTATTTATTTGAGAGAGAGAGAATGAGAGACAGAGAGCACGAGAGGGAAGAGGGTCAGAAGGAGAAGCAGACCCCCCGCCGAGCAGGGAGCCCGATGTGGGACTCGATGTGGGACTCGATCCCGGGACTCCAGGATCATGACCTGAGCCGAAGGCAGTCGCTTAACCAACTGAGCCACCCAGGCACCCCCGGCAGATTGATTCTTTTAAAAGATAGCAAGATGCATAAAGGACATACTGAGCTGCTTTTCTCTTCCTAAGAGCAGGAGAGAAAATTCCCAAGTGGAAGGTGCCCTCCCTGTATGAGGAGGAAGAAACACCATTATCACCAGAGAGGGGGAGTTGAGGCTGAGGGGATCCGGACAAACAGACCTTGTTAAAATAATTTATCTTCCTATGTCTCTGCATATCCTTTAGTTGCTTTTCCATCATTGTCTCCCTCTGTTGAACCTAGTAAGTAAACACTGAGGCCTAATTACTTCTTGGGTCTCCCTTTTTCTTATAAGGGCCCCTATGGTTTGGTAATGAGGATGGGATCACATTGGCTGGGGTTCTGTTGGCTCTGGGATCTGCCACTGAGAGGTCCTGGGGCCGACGAAGCCAGCAGGTAAGGTAAGAATTTTTACCTCGTTTGCTTTCTGGATCTCTGTCCTTTGGGAGAGGATGGTAAAAATTTCTTTGTCCGTTCCCTCTGGGTTCTGATTGGCAAGAGAAAAGCATTTGTAAGGATTAGTTCTTTGGATCCTTTGTGACTCTTGTAAATTTGGTTTTGGGTACCCACTTGTTGATCCCTCCCTCCAGGGACAGCTGTTGCTTTCTGTCTGTCTCCTTTTGTGTGCTGAAAGCTTGGCTTGGCTTTCTGCATGCTGCAAGAGACCAGACATCAGGTTAGGAGCCCTGAGAATATGTCGATGACCAGACAGAAATGGGAGTTGTACTCCTATTTGTGGCTAGGGTCATTGCCAGCTCTCCAGAGAGAGCTGTCTGTCTGTCTTTTGTCTGTCTTTGGGAGTGGCTCTGGATCTTGGGAAGAGTGCATCTTTTGTACCCTCGTGGGGGCATCTCTTGTGTCCCTGGTTAGATCATAAAAAGCTTTGGTTTGGGTTTGGGTTTGGAATAGGTATACTTTTGGTTTAAAAAAAAAAAAAGAATTCAGTAGTGCCAGAAAATTTTAGTTTGTCTGAGCTGAAACCTGATAAGATATTTGAAAGGACTTTTTAAAAATTTTTTTTTTTTTAAGATTTTATTTATTTTTTTGAGAGAAAGACTGAAAGGGAGAGAGCATGAACAGGGGGGAGGGGCAGAGGGAGAAGCAGATTCCCAGATGAGCAGGGAGCCAGATGTGGGGCTCGATCCCAGGACTCTGGGATCATGATCTAAGCTGAAGGCAGATGCTTAACCAACTGAGCACCCAGGTGCCCCAGGACTTTTTTTTTTATTATTATTCTTAAAGGAACTCTATGGACAGAATTTGGCTTAATTGAAGGCTAATATTCCCAGGCTGACAGGAATTATTTCCGAAGCTAAAATGGAACTACCTACTCAGAGGGCTATTTGGGAACAAATTAGCATGTGAAATCTCTTAAAAGTCTTCTTTGCAAATATTAGTAACTTTTTCCATCTGCCAGAAATACAGTTTGGATTAAACTATTTTTTTTAATTTTTAAAATTTGGGGCGCCTGGGCACCTGAGTGGCTCAGTTGTTAAGCGACTGCCTTCGGCTCAGGTCATGATCCTGGAGTCCCGGAATCGAGTCCCGCATCGGGCTCCCTGCTCAGCGGGGAGTCTGCTTCTCCCTCTGACCCTCCGCCCTCTCATGCTCTCTCGCTCTCATTCT